TTGTCATGTGTTGCAGGCATTTCTTGTAATTGGTCTTTGTTTGCAGTGTTTAAAATTTAATTCTAATCAAATGCATCAATTTTTTAAATGAATTTCATATTTGTAGAAAGGCCTTGGAGAAGAGAATTTTAAAGTGAATTTGATTTGCTAGTGGGACACCCTGTTGAGATGTAGAGCAGTTATTTGAAAATGATCTGAGGCTTATGAGAGAGAACAGTTTGATTTGGTAAATATTTATATTTGTCAACAGAAATTGACACTGTTAGGATGATGAAATTGCCATGAGCGAGAATATGGGTTGAGACAATGATTGAGGAATAAACCATAGGGAACAACAATAGAGGAAGATAATCCAGTAAAAGGGATTTAAGAAGTGACAGAAAACAGAGAGCAAGGAGAAGAATCTGGAAAAGTTTGTAGTGCTTGAACGTCACCCACTGCCATGGAGTTGATTCCAACTCATAATGACCATATAGGAAAGAGTAGAACTTCCCCATAGAGTTTTCAAGACAGTAAATCTTTACGGAAGCAGACCACCTCATTTTTCCACCTTGGAGTGGCTGGTGGGTTTGAACCACCAACCTTTGGTTAGCATCTGAATGCTTAACCACCTTGCTACCAGAGCGCCTGCCTGAATGTAAGGGGGAGATATATCTAATGCTGCAAAGAAATGAACATATCTAAGAACAGTATAAATGTTGCCCTTCAATGAAGAGAGCAGATAAGACCACTCTTAATAAATTAAAAAAAGAAATTTTCTTGTGATTTGGGTGCAGAGTTGTTTTACTCTCAACAGTTCATGCACATTTGGTTTTACACCTCGATTACAGACCCAACAATAAAAAATTCTCCTCCCATCTCCTCCCTGGTACTACCCTTTCCCTATGTCCTTCTCATCTATGCATTCCTGTCATTCCAGCTTTCCCTCTATGCAGATGATGCCCTTTGATCTCTCACAGTTGATTGATCTAAGGGGTAGGTACATCTCCCTAGGTAGGTGGGTGCATCTCTCTGGGGTAGGTGTTCTGCTTGTAGGCCTTTCTACTGTTTTGTCTAAGAGGTTATCCATTGAAATGAGTCCAGTTCCAGGCCCAAAGGATTAACCTGGGGCCATCGTCTTGAGGGTTCTACCAGTTGCTGTCTGACCAGTAATTCTGGTCATTTTTGTGTTTTTGAATTTCGCTCCACATTTTCCCTTCCACTCTATCTAGGATCTCCAATTTTGATCCCTTTCCGAGTGTTTGGCATTGGTAGCTGGGCACCATCTAGTTCTTCTGATCTCAGAGGAGGTTCCCATGGACATCAGACTAATTATTTCCATATGACTTGGTTTTTCTTCATTCTTCTTTGCTCTAGACAAGGGGAGACCAATAATTGCATCTTAGACGGCTGCTCAAAAGCTTTTAAGACCCCAGTCACTGCTCACCAAGTAGGATGTAGAGTAAGATTTTTATGTACTCTGATGTGCCAATTGAGCTTGATGTCCCCTAAGACCATGGTCCTGAGCCTGCAGGCCTAGTGACTCCTTCCCTCAAGATCCTTGGTTGTCATTGAGAAACTCCTTCAACCTTGTTCCCTGATATTTCTATAATGTATATGTATAATACACATGTAAGGATATCATCAGCTGTCGCGGCCGGCACAACAATTCTAGAACAGGCGGTAAGAGAATGAGTTAAAAATGAGAGAAAAATTAAAGGATGGGAACGGGAGGGACACTCAGAGCCATTGCAAAGCAGTGCCAATTTTATTATGATTATTCTCAAACTTATATACAAGTTTAACATGGGAGAAGTGCACAATTCATATGTCATGCAATCAATCACAAGTTAATTAATACTGGGAAAAGTACATGCATATACAATTGGCATATTAAATTTTAGCCTAACATTCCTGTTCCCATAAATCAAGTCGCCACAACTCAGGTCACCATAACCTCTTAAATTCTATACTCATTCTTCTATATCCCCTAGAAACCTATGTTCCCTAGCAACTTATATAGTTTAGATTGGCGTCCGCATATTCTGGGTTCAATCAAAGGTTATGCCTCTTATGCACCTGCTGTTTCACAGAACAATACAAGGGAGAAAATGGCTGATGGTGTTCTAAGAGCAGGGCTCAACCTTCAGGGACACTTAAGAGCATCAACCCACAAGACTTCGGGCCCATCAGTCCTAGTCCTTATGGGGACACTGAAAGTATCAACCTATTTATGGGAGCCGTTGCTCAATCAGCCACATCTATCCATGGTCATGGGCATATTCCTGTTCACCTACTTACACTTGATCTTCTCATCTGTCTGTGCATTTACCTGTAGACTGGTGTTTGTTGTTACTGGTAATGCAATATTGTGTATGTAATAGTATTTGTCTGTGTTGTCTATATCTTTTATGCACATTTCTGTGTCTGTCTTTTCCCTATTGTTATTGTACTGGTCATACACTTTTGTTATATTGCCTTTCTCTTCACTGAAATAAAAATGTGACTCCTAACTAGTCAGAAAATTCTTCTCCCCTTCCCTCCCATCTCGGGTAACCAACAAAGTAAATTTCCTTCCCTGCATAGACCTTTCCTTGACTTTTTATAATAATAGACTCATACTAATATTTGTCCTTCTGTGATTGACTTATTTCACTCAGCATAACATCCTCCAGATTCATCTGCATTATGAGGTGATTTGCGGATTTTTATTCTTTAATGTTGCATAGTATTCCATTGTGTGTATGTACCATAGTTTGGTTATCCATTCATCTGTTGATGGGCACTTAGGTTGTTTCCATCTCTTTGCTATGGGGAATTGTGCTGCAGTGGACATGGGTGTGCATATGTCTATTAATGACTGGATCTCACCTCTTTTGGATATATTTGTAATAGTGGAATTTCTGGATCAAGTGGTACTGCTATTTTCAGTTTTTTAAGGAAGTGCCATACTGTTTTCTGCAGTGGCTGTACCATTTTACAGTCTCACCACCAGTGTATGAGAGTTCCAATCTCTCTACACCCTTGCTTGCCACCATTTGTTATTTTCTGCCTTGTTGAACTTTGCTATTTGTTGGGGCGAGATGATATCTCATTGTTGGTTTGATTTGCATCTCTCTAATGGCAATGATTGTGAGCATTTCCTCATGTGTTTGTTGCCTGCCTTTATATCATTTTTTAGTGAAGTGTCTGTTCATGTCCTTTGCCCATTTTTGAATTGGATTGTTTGTCTTTTTGATGTGGAAGTGTTGAAGTTTTCTATAAATATTAGAGATAAGTCCCTTGTCAGATGCATCATAGCTATTTCCCAATCTGTAGGTTCTCTTTTTACTTTTTTGGAACAGTCTTTCAGTGCACATAAGAATTTAATTTTTAAAAGGTCCCAGTCATCTAGTTTCTCTCTATTGCTTGTGTATTTTGGGTTATGCTTGATAATCTGTTTATGCCACAAATTAAGGCTCTTAGGTTTGCCCCTGTTTTATCTTTGATGAACTATATGGTTTGGGGGTTTTCATTTAAGTCTTTGATCCATCTTATGTTCGTTTTTGTTTATGGTGTGAGGTATGGATCTGTTTCATTTTCTGCAGGTGGATATCCAGTTTTGCCAGCACCATTTGTTAAAAAGGCTCTCTCTCCCCCATTTAATGGGTTTTGGCCCTTTGTACATAGATGGATACATCTATTTCTGGATTCTCAATTCTGTTCCACTGGTCTATTTGTCTATCATTGTACTGTTTTGACTACTGTGGCTGTATAGTAGATTTTAAGATCACGGAGTGTGAGACTTCTTACTTTGTTTTTCTTCCACAGCATTGGACGTCCCTTTACGTTCCATATAAAGTTAGTGATTGGTTTTCTCATGTTCTTAAAGAATGCTGATGGAATCTGGATTGGGTTTGCATTGAATTGGCATGTTCTTCCATTTATGTAGGTCTCATAGTTTGTTGTAGTAGTGCTTTGTAGTTTTCTTTTTATTAGGTCTTTTGTGTCCCTGGTAAGATTTATTCCTAAGTATTTTATCTTTTTGGTAGCTATTGGAAATGGTATTGCTTTCCTTATTTCCTTTTCAGAGATCTCTTGTTGATGTAGAGGAATCCAACTGATTTTTATATGTTGATCTTGTATCCTGCCACTTTGCTGAACCTTTTTGTTAGTTCCAGTAGTTTTCTTGCTGAGTCTCTTGGGTTTTGTATGTATAGGATAATATCATCTGCACATAGAGATAGCTTTATTTCTTCTTTGCTAATTTGGATGCCTTTTATTTCTCTTTCTTGCCTTACTGCCCTGGCTAAGACTTCCAATACAGTGTTAAATAGAAGTAGTGATAGAGGGCATCCTTGTCTGGTTCCTGTTTGCAAGGGGAATGCATTCTTCATAACTTTTACAGAGAAGTACAGAAGAAAGGACCGCTCATGGAGCAGTGGTTAATGTTCAGCTGCTAACCAAAAGGTCAGCAGGTTAGAGCTCACTAGCCGTTCCTCAGGAGAAAGATGTGGTGATTTGCTTCCATAAAGATTTACAGCCTTGGAAACCCTATGGGGCAGTTCTACTGTGAGTTATAAGGTCACTATGAGTTGGAATTGACTCCATAGCAGCAGGTTTGGTTTGGTTTTTTGGATTAGAAGATAGTAGCTAGAGAAATGACAAGGTCATTGTCCTTTAAGAGTGGAGTGTTTGTGCCCTAAGGGGAAGGAAGCCAGTGGCAAGGGTGCTTGTGTTACCTTTGCTATTTCCTTTTCAGGTAACCTTTTCCAGATGTAATTTACATTCCTTTTGGGTAAATTTCTTTGGTTAAAATAATATTAACTATTGTGCAGAGGATAAAAATAGGATGATAAAATTGTGACTAGGAGATACTAGATTAAGTAAATGGATTTCTCTGAGGTAAAATTTAAGTTTGGGACTTGAATGGTAAGGGGCCATTTGAATGATAAAGGTAGAACCAGAGATAAAGGAAGACCAAACAGAAATAGTAAGTTAAAGTACCATCAACCTAATAAAATCCTCTTGCTTCTGACCAGGGTGAAAACAGATATCTTTGCCCCCTGACTTTGGAAATCTCGCGTAACCTTCAAACTGGCGATGTCAAGGGTTCCAAGTCCTCCACCTCCGGCAGAAATGTCGAGTGGCCCTGTAGCTGAGAGCTGGTGCTACACACAGGTAGGTTCATGTTCTAACCTTGTAAATCTTGATCTTGGAAGGATTTGGTGGACAACAGGAATACGAATTTCTTTTCTGCATTGGGTTTCCTGCTTTCTTTGGTATGTAGCTACTAAATAGCAGATAAATAAGGTACTTTTAGGCTGTTGTTTTTCAGTGGAGGTTGAAAGAGGGAATCTGTAGCAGCCTATATCCCATGATGGAAATGTGTTCTAAGAGGGCTTCAAACTGGTTCTTCTCAGTTCAGTCATGGCCGAGGAAACAAAACTGGAATTGATCCGAATGTTTAAAATTTGGATGAACTGGAATGATAACTGAACAGGAAAAATTATAGGTTGAAGCCTTAATCTCCTTCTTAGACAACACGGGTAGTGTACACTGGGCATAGCAACCAGATCTCTTCCTTGTTAGATTTTGAACAGTCGGAAACAGCAGTGCCCTGCTCAGAGATGGAATTTTGAATGTATACTGCTCTCCGCAGTCTTGCCAGTAATCCAAACTTTTGCATCGGGCTCCTGAAAGCTCTCCTATGCCTCTTCAGAGTCTCCCGTTCTAGGGTTCAACCCATAATTTTTCCCATTCATGTTACCGTTCTGGATCACCAACATTTTAAAAATTCAGGTCTGTTCCAGTGTCACTTTGTCAGCCATGACTGACCTGATTTAAACCAGTTTGAAGCCTGGTTCTAAGGGTCTTCTATTGGACAGGTCCAGGGAAAACCAAATTTGAGATTTACAGCCCTAGGCAGTGACATTAACATCTCAATTGTCAAACACTGCACTGAGCAAAGAGGCTAATTTGAGGTATGGTTTTATTATTTATTTTCCCAGCTCTGTCCATGTTTTTCTCACTTTCCATCCAGTGTTTTGAGAACTTGATAAAGTTATGAAAGCAGTTGGTCAGCATGAGATTTCTTAGCATGGATGAAGGAACCTGAAGCAAGAAATGGCTGAGCATCTTGCTCTCTTCCTATGGGGAGTCATGCAGAGGGAGGGAGGGAGAATGATTGCCTGATCTTCAGCCTATTTTTTTAGATTGTCTGCTTCCTATTTAATTGCTTCCTGGTTTTCTGTTAACAGATCAAGGTAGTGAAATTCTCCTACATGTGGACCATCAATAACTTTAGCTTTTGCCGGGAGGAAATGGGTGAAGTCATTAAAAGTTCAACCTTTTCATCAGGAGCCAATGATAAACTGAAATGGTGAGGAAGAATACATCTAGCTGTGAACATTTTTCAAAAAGTTGCCTGTTTTCTTGCTATTACAAACATTGACTAGAATGTAATCTCTTTGAAGGCAGGGACTTTGTTTTGTTCTTACTATATTCCTCAGTGCCTAGAACAGTGTCTGACACATATTGGGGGGGGGGAACTCACTGCCATTGAGTCGAATCCGACTCATAGCATCCCCTCCCTGGGTTTCCGAGGTGGTATCTCTACAGAAGTAGATTGCCCAGTCTTCCTTCCGAGGAGTGACTGGTGGGTGTGAACTGTCAGCCTTCTGGTTGGCAGTCAAATAAATGCCTTAGGCACTATACCACCAGAGGTCCCTGACACATATTAGGCACTCAATAAATATTTGTTAAACAGATACATCAGGGATCAGCAAACTTAAATAGCTATTAAAAAAAAGCTAAGAACTCACTGCCTTCAAGTCGATTGTGACTCACAGCAACCCCTCCTCGGGTTTCTGAGGTGGTATCTCTACGGAAGTAGATTGCCCAGTCTTCCTTCCATGGAGTGGCTGTTGGATTTGAACTGCCAGCCTTCTGGTTAGCAGTCAAATGGTTTAGGCACTACGCCACCAGGCTGTGGGGTAATATAAATGAGTGAAGAGAGCCAGTGTTGTAAGTGATACCTGCACATGGTGTGAGAGGTGATTCTTGGCAAACTGGCTAGTGCATGTTCCTCTGAAGGGCGTGGTGGCTACTCAGCTCCAGCTGGTTATAGGCACACATGAATATGGCCTGACCCTTGTCCAGTTTTCTGACTTTTCAAGAAAAGCAAGAAATTGGGTGTTTTTTTTCCTCCTTTTTCAAAATTGTAGCAAAACATACATAACCAAACGCTTGCCATTGTAATCAGTTTGTTAACATTACATTTACCATGTTGTGTAGCCATTACCACTCTCTATTTCCAAAAGGAAACCTATATTTTAATGTGAACTCTTGTTTTTCAAATAGTCTTCTCTCTCTCTCTTTTTCCCCTTAAAAACAACGACAAAAGATATTTATTTGCTTATATTAACTGGGATCACCAGGGTATAGGATGGGTTTTGAAGGTAATTTGACCCAACAAGTCAGTGGTTAGATCAAGGACCCTGTGTGTCTCTACTCTGCCCCTCTCTTTATACTATTGGCTGTGTCAAGTTTTTTTTCCCTTGTAAAGGACGGCTGGCAGTAGCAATAGGCATAAACACTGCCATCCAACAAAAGCCTGTGTTTGAGCTTCCTCTGAACTAGTTCTTTGGCCAAAGATATGTCATACATGCACTGATTGGTAGGCCTGGGTTCCCTGAACTAATAATCCTTGTGACAAGGGGAATGTGGTCTGAGGGTGAGAGTCAATCTCATCCAAACCATATATCTTCTTCAGGAGGAGGAGCTGTTAAGGAGACAACTATGTGCCCACTGCAAAGACCAAAAATCCTACAAACTACCAGTTTTTGACCTTTGATAACCCACTGAAGAGTGATTTATTTATTCATTTAGTATTTACTGACTGTGTATATTAAGTGTATTTTATTTATTTAAGTCTACACCCTTCGCATAGGGTGTAGTGATCTTTGAGTCTTACGCACTCTCTAGAGAGGCATGGGATTGAGCCACCTGTTTGAGAGAGGTGCTGCAACTCCGGCAAGGCCTAAGGCTACATATGGTCTATGTATAGATGGTGAAAAGCAGTGTCTCAGCCACATACAGTTCAGTTAATGAACTTACACTAATGCTGAGTTTTGTTTTGATTCATCAGTAACGGAGTGGCATCTCTAACCTTATTTAGAAGCCTAGCTTAGAACTTTGCTTTGTGTCATAGGTGTTTCCCTGTGTCTGCTGCCTCTGAGGCTCACATGAGACATTTTTTTCCCCACATGATTTCTCCCTAGTTCCAACAAAATTAGGGCTACCTTCACAGAGCAAGGCTAGATAGAATTTTAAAATATTTTAAGGGAAAAAGAAGTGAGTGGTTTGGGAGAGTATAAGGAAAAGAGAAAGATATTCAAGGAAGAAATTTAAGAGATTCTATAATACCCCTTTATTTTTGTTGTTTACTTTTTAAAGGGTAACTCAAAAAGTGGTTGGCAAGTATCATTTTACTGAATCAGAATCTGCTGATATGGAGACGGGGATTTAAAAAAGCACCTCCCTCTAGTGATTCTGGTGTTCCAGTTCTGTCCTGTCATTCCGTCCTAGCACTTCATAAGCCTATAAAACAGGATGCTTTCAATACCATTTTTTTCCCCCTCTTACCTATTTTGGGCAGGTGTTTGCGAGTAAACCCAAAAGGACTAGATGAAGAAAGCAAAGATTACCTGTCACTTTACTTGTTACTGGTCAGCTGTCCAAAGAGTGAAGTTCGGGCAAAATTCAAATTCTCCATCTTGAATGCCAAGGGAGAAGAAACCAAAGCTATGGGTAAATGTTCTCCGTTCTGTTTGGCTCTTTACTTTTTATATCCAGCAACTTCATACACTGACAAGTTGTGGATTTCATCTGATTTTTGAGTAGCCCTAAATATGACTTTCTTTTTTCACCCCAGAGAGTCAACGGGCATATAGATTTGTGCAAGGCAAGGACTGGGGATTCAAAAAATTCATCCGTAGAGATTTTCTCTTGGATGAGGCCAACGGGCTTCTCCCTGATGACAAGCTTACCCTCTTCTGTGAGGTGAGTCCTTTTACCCTGCTGTGAGATTTGCAGTTCCCAGTCCTGATGGACATTGGTAGATTTAATTGTATTATGGATAGAGAACGAAAAGAATTCCCTAATGGGGTTGTGCTGCACAAACGTTATGTATGTGACTGATTGAAAACTGCCTCGTGATTTCAAGGCTGTTGGACATCTCAGCTTTCTAATTGTGACTGTTATTAAAAACAAATATTCTGTGCTATCTTAGTATGTATGAGTGTTGTTTTGCTTGGGTCGGGATTCTGGCTTTTCACTTTGGATGTTTTCAGATAGCATTTATAAGGACTGTTACCTCCAGCTGAAGAGAATACACTAGATAGGTATACTTGTTTCTTAAATTTTCTGGCTCTTCCTTTAGTGTGAAATCCAAGTGTATTTGACTGTGGGTCACTTTCCTCTTCTCCTTTTTGAATTAGATAACACTTACCTGAAATTGAGTGCCAACAATTTCTCATGCTGGAGTAATTGAGAAATAGGAAAATGAGAATCATTTTTTTTTAAGAGTCAAGGGTGTGCCAAGCTTTATAACCTATAGTTAATTAGAGGAGTCAGCTGTGGTCAGCTTGGAAAGTCCTCCTCTCACCAAGGACCTAAGAGTCTTTCCCAGGTACACAGGAGAAGCCCTGAAGTAAAATTTCCAAACTGATGGTGAATTGGAAAGTAGTTTCTTTAATGAGTCTATGTTAATTAGTAATTTCATGTTGTTATCAATACATTTATAAATACTCATAAGCTCACAGAATCATTAATGAATAAAACATCTAGCCAGTTGAGACATTGGTGTTCCTTGTACATCATATTGTTGGGGATCCAGTTTCTGAACAGCCCCACTTGGTGAGATTAACCACTGAACTTTCATGGGAGAGAGTGCAGGCAAGTTTCCCAGCTACCAGTGAAGAGCATGCTTGGTGAAGTAGTATGCTGACACAATGAGTTAATGACAGTTTCAAAGGCATATCATTCCCTGGGCAGCGGGGAAAGGTGTGTCTTCAGAATCTTGCTCTTCCCCAGAGGAAGCCTAGCCAGCAGTAGCTGGCTTCTTTTCCAAGTCACAGCTCATTGAGTATTTCAACAGAATAGTAGCTGATGATTAGAAAACTTTGGAGGCATGGTTTATTAAAACAGCATACTGAATACATTAAATATGATTTGCGTAATAGCTTCCTTTTTAAATGCCAAGTAGAAGAAGGAAATACTAGAGTGAGAGCATCTCTATCTAAATGTTGCAGTTGTTTTAGATGTGATGAACTTGAAATTTGAATTCCATATGAAGTCCAGCTGGTCACAAGTCATGTTCAGCTGCCCAAGTGAAGAATTGGGAGCAATTAGGTGGTTTAGTGTGAAGGTTAGCTGTTAATTAATATAAATTGACACAGACTATCAGTTTTAATATTAACTATCATAAACCAAACCTATTTCTGTCAAGTTGATTCTGACTCACAGTGAGCCTATAACTATCATAGAGACTTATATTTCAGAAAAACTTAAAAAATGTGGAAAATGCTCATTTCTGTTGGAAATGAAAGTCTCTCTTGAGAATGTTCTCTGAAGGAACTCTCCTCTAGATATTGTTCCTATCCTCCTTTTTTGCATTTGGTGTTTTAGGCAATGCCATAACCTTTATTGCAACGTTTTTGCATCCTCAGTGAGTCCAGCTTTTTCTCATATGCTCCCTTCTAAATCTATTCCAGCTGCTACAACCCCTGAATTGACATTCTTGATTTGGAAACCAATCGGCCTGCCTGTCACTTGGCAATCTCTTATCCTGTGGTTAAGTCCAAGGCCGAGTTCCCAGTTCTCTCTGCCTCCGCTTCCCCATATGAAATTCTCTCAGGAGAAGTCCTGTGGTTAAATTTAGATTTGCCTTACTGACTTAGAAGGGAAGTGAGATGACACTTTGGAAATGAGGAGATGTTGAACAGGGAAACGTCTGCTGGGTTCTGCTGATGCCATCGGTTTTTTACCATCGAACCAGGTGTGCCATCTGTTCCTCTCACACTTCTTTGTTGGCCACAGGTGCTGAGTGTTGCTTCTGATACTTGGGCTTGTGCCTAGTGAGACTCATTTCTGTTCCAAGGCTCTCTGTGGACTTAGTAGCATTCAGCGTGGCAAGACGGTTGCGTGGGGGTGTGTATTGGATGTGTGGGGTTTTAAAAAAGTCTGCAGATCATCTGAGTTCTTAGTGCTTTTCAGCTAGATCGTCCTTTGTTCCAAATTCTATCCCTTTGACCTGTTGTTTCCCTTCTATCAATGAGATATTTATAAATATTTATTTTAATTCATACTTATACTGTATTGTTGTTGGCTTAATTAGTTTTTTCCTGTTATTTAGAGGCTTTTTGAAGTTGATATCCACATACCAATTTGGGTTGTGAATATCAGACCCTCACTTACTCTATCCCTCACTTAGCCTTTGGCTCAGGTACTTCTGTCCTATCCTCATGCAATAAGAATAGGATTGGGTTGTTTTTTGTTTTTGCTGTTCCAAAGGCCACATGAGGGAATGTTAAGGTGAAAGGGTAAGAATCACACAATTGTGTATTTGGGCATTATTTCAGTATATTGCTGTTAATGAATGTTTAAATGAAATTAGATTGCAAATTCTGAAAATGCCAAAGGGGTGGTCAATTTTTTTTTTTTTTTTCATCTTTTTTTTTTTTTTTTATTGTGATTTGGGTGGAAATTTACAGAGCAAATAAATACACATTCCATACAGCGTTCACATACACTTTGTCTCATGACATTGACCACAATTTGCCACAATGCAACATCTCCCCTCCTACTTCCTCCCGATAGTTACCTCTTCCCTGTGTCCATCCCTCCTCCATGCACTCCTGCCCCCTGAGCTGTCTCCCTGTGCATAAACAGCCCTTCTTTCTCCCATGATTGTTCTCTCCAAGGAGTGTATCTACCTCAGGTAAATGTTCAACTCATATGCCTGTCTATTGTTTGGCTGGAAGCCACAGGCATGGGTTCAATTCCAGACCTGAAGGGCAGCTATGGGCCATAGTCTCAGTGGTTCCACCAGGCTCTATCAGACCAGCAAACCTGGACCCCCCCCCTTTTTTTCCCTCCAAATGATTTTGAGTTTTGTCCTCCCTCCAAAGGGGTGGTTTTCTTTATAATGTGGTACACTGGATTTGCTTTCAGTCCTCAGTGATAAAATGGCAATGTTTTTGTCTATTAGGAAATGTGACAGTTCTTCCAAATTGATACTGCTCGGTTAACTTATTTGGAGGCATTTTGCAAGCATTCTCTGAATTGTCCCTTGCCACAATCTTTTGAGCTAGGTTAATACTGTTGCCTTCCTGTTACAGAAGAGAGAAGCAGTGCCTAGGGAGGTCAGGTAATTCTTTCTAACATTGTGTAGCAAGTGAGTGTCAAGGCCTTGTTGACTCTTCACTTTCCATCTCTGTCTGCTGTGTTACACTAAGTGGAGCTGCCTGCTATTCACCCAAGGAAGCCTAGGCACTACCACGTTTTCTTGACAGAGAACATTTACTGTAGTAATGGAAGAGGGGTAAAAATAGGCATGGTTAAAGTACACTTTTAATTTTGTCTCTAATAACTTGAACACAGAAGATCTTCATGAAATGTTTCAACTTAGATTAACCCTTCTCTCCAAGTATTTATATGAGGCAAGCTTGTCCTCATGATGAAGATGCACTGTAGTCCACCTTCAACCTTCACTGTATATGCCTTTGACAGGTAGAAGATTCCAGGGCCTCTTTGTGATGTTGCAATTAAAATTGAACTCTGGGAAATATCCTATTTCTTAGATGCTAGTTAACTCTTAAAACATCTCTTCCCTCCTCAAACAGAATATCCCTTTGTAGCCTGGGGATATGTATTTTTACCAAATTTTAAGTAAGTCAGTCTATTCATATTTTCCTTTTTTTTAAATTTGGAGTATTGGATATATAGGTTGAACTGTATGAAAATGTCAGTATTTTTTATTGACCTATATATATGGTAATTTAATATGTAACATTATGGTTACATAAAAGCAGATAATGTAGTAAACTTACCAAACAACTCTAGAAAAAGAACCCATCACCAAAAGCTTGCAACAAACCTATATGCTTGCTCCCTCCCTATCTCAGACCTGTTGGCTCCCCACTCAGAGAATGATAAATAGCTGTTTTGAATTTTATGCTAACATTCCCTTGTTTATTATTTGTATGCCTAAACATGTTCTTTAGGTTTGCTTGGTTTTGAGCTTTATAAAATCAGTGTCATGTATGTGTGTATGTATATAATCATCTGGGACTTTTTTTACATTGTTTCTAAAATTTTATGTTCTGGACATAACTATAGTTCATTCATTTTTAGTGTTGTATATTAATCAGTTGTGTGACTGTACACTATTTATTTATTCATTCTCTTGCTGATGAACATTTGTGGTTTTGCTAGGTTTTTGCTATTAGAAATATATATAACCTGTATGCAGAGTTTGTTTCTTGATTGGTTTAATTATGTAGGCGCTAAGACATACATATATTTCCATTGTTTTTACATTGACAATGTTTAGAAAAAACGTACAAGAATTAGTATAATCTTCAGCCTTTAATGAGATTTTCTTTTTTAAGGAAAGGAATTGACTTTAAAAGTCAAGCCCTCTTACAACTTTGAAATTCAAGGGGTTAGAAAGCCTTCCTGAGACATTTTCACGCAGTCGTTTATAAGATGACATAAATGTCACAGTCACGTCATCTTCACAGCTTCAAGTCTGAATGAGTCTCCATAGTCAGCTTTACAGGCATTAAAAAAATATCTTTAGTTTTTCTCAAAACGGTCTCATTTTGGCATCATTTGCAGAGGAAAACAATCCCTTTCTGAGTTAAAAGTTTGGGCTCTGAAGACTCATTTGTGCATGCCATTTAAAATTTATTTTTAATTAAGCGTATTTAATGTTGGTAAGAGGTGCCAGACATTCAGAGCTCTGGAGACTTCAGGCATCTATATATCTACAGAACAAGCCTGGCTCAGACAGCAAAGGTACATTCTCCTTCCTGCTGTGTTCCTGTCTGTCTAGGGAGAGGAATTGCTCCAGTGAGGGGAAGCATAGTCTTCAGGCCTTACTCAGTACCAAGCATGCTTCTAACCAGCAGAGGGGTAACCATAGTTTGATTATGTGAAATCCAGCTTTTGCCAATTCATTTTATCCAGTCTCCTAAATTGCCATCAAGTGCGTTAATGACTTTGGGCTCCTGTCAACCTAATTCAGGCTAGAACCCAATGCCAAAAGCATTCTCCATTCCCTTCATTGTCCATCCCCGGAGATTCCTGCCTTTCCCTATGAGGAAGCTGGATTTAACTGGTCTTTTCCATTTCCTTTTTTTAAATCAGTATTTTGAAGTTATAATTGGAAACAGGCAATTTCTACCTTTGGTGTTAATATTATGTCAAAGAGAGTAAGAAAGTGGTCGAACCAAATTAGAGGTCTTACATGGGACAGACGGGGCTCTCTCTGGAGTAGTTTGTGCTGGGTCCTGGTTTGTCACTGCTGTTACCTGGTTCTGATAAATGTGCTGTCAATTCTAGGCACATTCATAATTGATTACTTTGGCTGTTTCATTGGTCAAGATCATAATGGCTAGTTTAAAACAAATGAATAAATTTCCTGACCTGATGGTAAATATCTCACTCCTACATAGAAAGAACTCTGGTTATTGGATGGAGTGTTAACTTTGCCTGTGGGTTTATGACTACATTTAAGAGATGACTTGCATCTTGAAGGTTAAAAGAAATGTGGGTTATTTAGAATGTCTCTGAGCTGGCATTCTCATTGAACTCTTAGAAATAGCAGGAGTAGGGAGCTGATTCTCAAAGTTTATAAATTCTACTTTGATTTAAATACCTTTAACCTAATGTGGTGAGCTTTGGTGGCATAGTGCCTAAGGCATTTGACTGCTAACCAGAAGGCTGGCGGGTCAAATCCACCAGCCACTCTTTGGAAGAAAGATTGAGCAATCTACTTCCGTAGAGATACTGCTCGGAACCCCAAGGAAGGGTTGCTGAGTCGGGTTGTTAGTTTCTGTCGATTCAGTTCCAACTCGTAGCGACCCCATGTACAACAGAGTGAAACACCGCCTGGTCCTGTGCCATCCTCAAAATTGTTGCCATAGTTGAGCCCGTCATTGCAGCCACTGTGTCAGTCCCTCTCACTGAGAGGTTCCTTCGCTTTCTTACTGACCCTCTACTTTACCAAGCATGATAGCCTTCTCCAGGGACTGACCCTTCTGATACATCGCCAAAGTACAAGAGACAAAGTCTGGCCATTCTCGCCTCTCAGGAGAATTCTAGCTGTACTTCTTTCAAGGTAGATGTATTCGTTCTTCGGGCAGCCCATGGTATTTTCAGTATTCTTTGCCAGCACCACAATGCAAATGCATCAGTTCTGTGGTCTTCCTTATTCACTGTCCAACTTTCACATGCATATGGGACTGTTGAAAATACCATGGCTTGGGTCAGGTGCACTTTAATCTTCAAAGTGACATCTTTGCTCTTTAACAAGTGAGAGATCTTTTGTAGCAGGTTAGCCCTATGCAATATGTCATTTGATTTCTTGATTGCTGCATTCATGGGTGTTGATTGTGGATCCAAGTAAAATGAAATCCTTGATAACGTCAATCTTTTCTCCATTTATTGTGATGTTGCTTGTTGGTCCAGTTGTGAGGATTATCGTTTTCTTTATGTTAAGGTGTAATCCATACTGAAAGCTGCAGTCTTTAATCTTCATCAGTAAGTGCTTAGAGTCTTCTTCAGTTTCAGCAAGCAGTATTGTATTATCTGCATCTCAGGTTGGTAATGCGTCTTCCTTCAGTCCTGATGCTGATTTCTTCTTCATGTAGTCCATCTTCTCAGATCAAATTATTTGCTCAGATACAGATGGAATAAATATGGTGAAAGGATGAAACCCTGACACACACCTTCCCTGATTTTCAAACATGCAGTATCCCATTTTGTTTAAATGACTGCCTCTTGGTCTGTGTACAGATTCCTCATGAGCACAATTAAGTGTTTTAGAATTCCCATTCTTCACACTGTTATCTATAATTTGTTATGATCTACACAGTTGAATGCCTTTATATAGTCAGTAAAACACAGGTAAACATCTTTCTGATAGTCTCTGCTTTCAGCCAAGATCCAACTGACATCAGCAGTGATCTCCCTCGCTCCGTGTCCTTTTTGAATCAGCCTCGAATTTCTGGCAGTTCCCTGTCAAGAACTGCTGCAACCATTTTTGAATTCTTTTACTTGCATGTGATATTAATGATATGTTTTGATAATTTCTACAATCTGTTGGATCACCTTTCTTGGGAATGGGCACAAATATGGATCTCTTCTAGTCAGTTTGCCCGGTAGCTATTTTCCAGATTTCTTGGCATAAGTGAGGGCTTCCAGCATTACATCCATTTGTTGAAACATTTCAGTGGGTATTCCTGGAGCCTTGGTATTTTTTGTTTGTTTGGTTGTTTTTTTTTTTTTTTTTGGCTAATTCCTTCATTGCAGCTTGAACTTCTTCAATATCATCAATTCTTGACCATATGCTATCTCCTGAAATGGTTGAATATCAACTCATTCTTTTTGATATAGTGCCTCTGTGTATTCCTTCCATCTTCTTATGACGCTTTCTGCATCATTCAGTATTTTGCCCACAGAAGCCTTCAATATTGCAACTCAAAACTTACTTTTGTTTTGTTTTTTTTTCAGTTCTTTCAGCTTGAGAATGCCGAATGTGTTCTTTCCTTTTGGTTTTCTAACTCCAGGACTTTGCACATTTCATTATAATACTTGCTTTGTTTTCTCAAGCCATCCTTTGAAATCTTCTGTTGAGCTCTTCTACTTCATCATTTCTTCCATTCACTTTAGCTATGTTCCATTCTAGAGCAAGTTTCAGAGTCTCTTCTGACACCTATTTTGGTCTTTTGTTCCTTTCCTGTCTTTTTAATAAACTTTTATTTCTTCATATATTATGTCCGTTATATCATCCCACAATTTGTCTTGTCTTTGGTCATTAGTGTTCAGTGCATCAAATCTGTTCTTGAGATGGTCTCTAAATTTAGGTGGGATATACTAAAGGTCATATTTTGGCTCTTATGGACTGGCTTTCTCATTTTCTTCAGCTTCACCTTAAACTTGCATATGATTAATTGATGGTCTGTTTCATAGTCAGTATCTGGCGTTGTTCTGACTGATGATATTGAGCTCTTCTCCATTGTCTCCACAGATGTCAGTTTGATTCATGTGTATTACATCTGACACAGTCCACATTGAATGCCTTTATATAGTCAATAAAACACAACATTTATATTGTTGAAAGAAGATATTTGCATTGAATAGGTCATTGGTCATCCAAAATTCTGTCATGCAATCTCTGGCCTCATTTCTATTGCCAAGGCCATATTTTCCAACTTCTGATCCTTCTTTATTTCCAACTGCATATTCTGATCACTAGTAATTATCAATATATCTTAGTTGCCTGTTGGTCAATTTCAGACTGCAGAAGTTGGTGAAAATCTTCAATTTCTTTGTCTTTGACTTTAGAGGGTTGGGGCATAAATTCGAATAGTAGTATTAACTGGTCTTCCTTGTATATGCCTATGGATATTATCCTATCACTGACAGCATTGTACTTCAAGGTAGATCTTGAAATATTCTTTTTGACAATGAATGCAATGCCATTTCTCTTCAATTTGTCATTCTTCACATAGTAGACCATGTGATTGTTAGATTCAAAATGGCCGTTACTAGTCCATTTCAGTTTACTGTGATGGTATATGATTTTTAAATCCTTGTGTCTGGTATCCTAGCCAATTTATCTGAGTTTCACTGACCCATCCCCAAGTTACTTTTGTTTTATCTACTCTGAAGAGTTCATTCACTAGGTTCAAACATGATGCTGCTGAAGCCATAGTAGAAGGTTAGATACCTGTATAAATCTGTCATCCTCACTCTTTTCTAAAGCTACAGGTGCATGTCTAGCTGCAGCCAGCCATCTTGTATGTCATTGTCATAAGTGCCTGAACAGAAGTGCTGTAAAGATCTTCCAAGCACAGTCCTGACTGGTAGCAGATCTGTAGTGTCATGTTCATTAAACTAACAGTTCTGAGGAAGCCAGTTATTTACTAGACCCTATAGCAATGACTTTATTTTCATGTTCCAAATCTCACTGAAATAAGCAAAGCACTTTTAGGCTTAAGTTATTAGTCTTTTCCCTAGAAACTTTCATTTAAATGGTAGTTTCTTTAGGATTTCTCTGTCTTTAACCTTTTGCTTAAGGCAGAATAAGATAAATACTTGAAGTTTACAATTTGTTTCTATTAGTTTTTTCCTTCGGGCTTCTTTGCCCTGGTTTACAGGGCAGGGGAGGTAGAGCCTGTTAGAAGCTAGAGGAAAAGGAGTTTTGTAGGGGACTTACTCCCCAGGGCCTGAGATAGAATCGAATAAGTGATTGTGTGATAGATAGATTGGAAATGTCTCAATCCAGAGGATAAGCCTTTCTTTGTGGAGGTGATTCTACAGCAAAGAGGTAAAAGTCAAGTAGAAATCCTTTTATCTTTCTTCCTGCCTGAAAGAAAATTCCCAGTAACAAAACCATTGGTCTGTGTTTCCTTATCTTCCACAGGTGAGTGTGGTGCAAGACTCTGTCAACATTTCTGGCCAGAATACCATGAATATGGTGAAAGTCCCTGAATGCCGGTTGGCTGATGAATTAGGAGGACTCTGGGAGAATTCCCGGTTCACAGACTGTTGTTTGTGTGTGGCTGGCCAGGAATTCCAGGCTCACAAAGCTATCTTAGCAGGTTGGTATTTATTCATGGGGTGCTTTAATTTTGGTGGAACAAGGAAAAACCAAGTGGCTATATAACTACCTTTTGAACTCATCTACAAAAAACAGCAACATTAGTTCTTTTAATCAGAAAAGGCTGATCTCCATAAAAATGTTAGTTTCGTTTTCCCTCTCTGTAGTGGACTAGACTGCCATTTTCACAGAATAGGTGATGGTGTGGTATCAAATGCCTTTGCACCTGGAGAGTACATGTCAAAACACTGGTCAGGAGCAGGAATCAGGACACATATGCCAGACCCCAGACAGGGGGTTAGGATATAAATGTAGAGGAGTCCAAACACAGACTAGCCCACCAAGCTAAGTCCTCAGCCCTGGACAACTTGGTTCTCTTTAATACAAACACACTTTGAAGAATGAGAAATATAGCCACTGAATTGGAGGAGCATCAGGTTTTGCTCTGATTTGCCCTCAGTCTTTAAGACCAGAAAGACTGATACCAAGGAGCGAACTAATAAGGGAGGGTCAGCTTTACCTCAGCTAGGAGGAAGGACAGCAGTCAGCCACAAACTGTCCATAAGACTAAGAGGAGACTACCTTTGGGGCAACAGATTTCTTATGAAGACGCTCAGCTCTGTAATTCTGAAATATATACCTGGCAAAACCCCAATCTGGCACTCTCTAACCATCTTCCTGTTCCTTTCTCAACCAGGCATTGCTAAATGCTAAAGTTTGTCATTAACTCTCTAGATTAGTGTCTCTAGGCTTAACTAAGGAGCTCTGGTAGCATAGTGCCTAAGACACTTGACTGCTAACCAGAAGGCTGGCGGTTCAAACCCACCAGCCACTCCTTGGAAGGAAAGTTGGGCATTCCTACTTCCATAGTGATACTGCCTCGGAAACCCAAGGAGGGGTCTCTGTGAGTCGGGGCCGACTCGATGGCAAATAACAACAACAACAATAGGCTTAACTAAGCACTCTACTGTCAGAACACCTTGTATGTATGTACTATAGATACATAGTCAGCTCTCTTTATTTTTCTCTATAATAGATATTTCAAGCCTTTACCACTTTCCTTTAACCCCCTGTTTCCAACTCCTAAAAGATAACCTTGCCTACTACTTTCAAGAAAAAATAGAGGCTTTTCAATAGGAACTCCCTCTTGCTTCTCACTTTACCTCTGTTCTCAGGAAAAGGGGTGGTAATCTTCTTGTGTCCAAAGCTGACTGTTCTGCTTCTGTTTCATATCTCATCCTGCCTTCTCAGAAATCCTTTTCTACCAATTATGCCTTTGTTATCTAACACATTCCCCATCTCTCTCTTACTGCCTCTTCACCCTCAGCCTGCAAGCGGGCTTAGACTTCACCCTCTAGCTACTCCTTTTTCTTTGAGAGCTAAAGTTTCTTGAGTTAGCACATTCACTGTCTACGTCCTTCCTTCCACTTATACTCAGTTCACCCTTCATGCCACTAAAGTACTTTCCCAAAGTTCCATGATCCAAGGGTATCATGTTTGGTAAAGTACAGGGTCAGGGAAAAAGGGGAAGACCCTCAACGAGTTGGATTGACACAGTGGCTGAATGTGATGGGCTTAAGCATAGCAAAGGTGGTGAGGCTGGCACAGGACCAGGCAGTGTTTTGTTCTGTTGCATATAGGGTTGCTATGAGTCAGAACTGACTTGAGGACACCTAACAGCAACAACAGCCTTTTAACGTATTACTTGTCTCTTCTCTCCTGGTTTTCTCCTGGTTCTCTGACTACTTTTGATGTCTGGCCTCCCTGTTCTTCATCCATCCCTTTAAACACTGGGTTTTCCCTAAGAGTCTACTTCAGTACTCTTTTCACTCTCCATATTCTTCCTGGGAATTTTATTTATTTATTCCTATAGCATCAACTGCTGTCTATCACCAGTGAACCCCTGAGACATATCTGCTGCTTTGGACCCTTCCATCTTTATTAAAAGTACTAACCCTTCAGTCTTCAATTTCTGTATTTAATTTAGTGCCTTATATTCTATAACCCTTCTAAGATAAAATCAATCAGAATTAGGATCAGGAGAGCAGTACTTGCACAGGGAGAGAGCTCAGAGGGCAGGAATACATTAAGAAAGAAGGACACAGAGAAAAGGTAACCACAGGGAGGAAGTAGGAGGAAAGCTGTTACATTGTGGAAATTAGACTCAATGTCATGAAACACAATGTGTATGAACTGTTGAATGGAAAATGAATCTGCTGTATAAACTTTTACAATTAAAAAATAATTTAAAATTTAAAAAAAAAAACGAGAATATCTTTTTGGTTTAGATTAAAATATTGAGGCTTAGAGGGTTAAGTATTTGTCCCAGAATACATGGTTAGAAAATGGCAGACCTAAAATAAACTGACATAAACTATGGTCCAAAAATCCCACTTGGCACAAAGCCTTACTGCATACTCCATCTGTTCCTCCACTCTTAGGTAGAGATGGGTAGTCTCAACTTTCAGCCAAACCCTTGATTTATTGGACAACATGAAAAATTTTGAGTTTCTAACCATTTTCTATCTTTTATGGTTATTAAGCTTACTTGTTTTTTGTAGTATTTCTTAGACTAGAATGGACATGGCTTAGAGCTGTGTTTCTCAACCTTTTTCATTATCATCCCCCAATGGAGAAAAACTAAATTTAAATTCTCCCTAATGAGAGAACTTAAATACTAAAACCCCCCCAAAAAAAGGAAAAAACAAACACACTGCCATCGAGTCAATTCTGACTCATAGTGACCCCCTTTAGTTTTCCGAGGTAAATCTACGGAAATCGATCGCCCAGTCTTCCTTCTGCAGATTGGCCAATGGGTCTGAATCACCAACCTTCTGGTTAGCAGTCAAATAAATAAATAATACTAAAGAACAAGATTTTTTTGTCAGGGTTGGTCTTTGGAAGATCACAAACCATTGTAGTAGCTAAGATTGTTTTGCTCCCCTTTGGGCATGATATCACCCATGTTGAGAACACATGGCTTAGAACAGCCAGCCTTCATAAACAAGCATGCGCTCTATCTAGGCAGTGGGTGCCACTCAGCCCAGTTCTTGACCTGTGGTGTGGTCCCTGGAGGTAGAGAAAGTGTGGTTATCAGTGTTCCAGGAAAAAGCCCCAGGTATTAGGACATTCTGTTTAGACTGTGAAGAACCTTCCATCATCTGAACCCCTAAATCTACCCAGAGGATAGAGAATTGTTATTCAGCATTGATAATCTAAGTAATTTGCTTGAAATACGAATTGTTGAAATTAAGTTAATAGAAAATTATTTTTAAAGTAGTGTTTGCTTTTCCTTTAAACTTATAATTATTCACTTATTCATAATATAAGAAGAAAGGAATTTTATAATTCTGGTAGTAATTTGAAGGCACTCTGGTTAGCAGTGGTTAAAGCATTCATCTGCTAATCAGAAGGTTGGCAATTTGAACCCACCAGCCACTACATGGAGGGGAGAAAGATGAGGCAGTCTGCTTCTGTAAAGATTTACAGTCTTGGAAGCTCTAAAGGGCAGTTCTGCTCTGTTCTAAAGGGTCACTATGAGTAGGATTTGACTCGAAGGCAGTAGGTTTTTTTTGTTTTTGTTTTTGGTACTGATTTGAGGATAAGACTCTTTCCTGTAGCAATAGGGCAGGAAGAAAAAAAAAAAAACACTGCTTTATCATAACATGGTAACTTGGAAGAACCAAGAGATTTCAGTGTGGTAACTGTTTCTGTTCTCCTTTCATTTCGTAGCACGTTCTCCAGTTTTTAGTGCCATGTTTGAACATGAAATGGAGGAGAGCAAAAAGGTATGTAATAGGATGGAGACATGTCTTTTTAGCCAGGTGACTAGATTCAGATGACTTGCAGATTTATTTTCCTAATTATATTTTGCTCAGTGTGTTATTAAAATGGAATACAGTTCCCTGAACAGACACCTTCTGAGAGCAGAGAGAGGTAGTCTGGGTGAATTCTAGGTTTAAGTGGACTCACTTACTCCCCAGGCTGTCCATCTAAACAGTTTTGGGGAAGGATATTAAACATGCATTTCTACTCAGAAAATTTATGAAAAGAAAGGTGTAAAATCAATGCTTTCGTTGTTTTGCTGGTGTATTTGAGAAAACAAAGATGATACCTATGATGGGAGAAAGGCTATTATAATCAAATAGGACAAAGAGAAATTTTCCATTCATGTTAGGTTTCAGATGACCTAAGCCTCACCAGAGCTTTGAAAGTATGACAACAGTTTAGGGATTCTGTTCTGTTAGAATGTTTCTCATTTTCAGTTTTTCTGGCATAGAATCGGGTTGAAATCAATGATGTGGAGCCTGAAGTTTTTAAGGAAATGATGTGCTTCATTTATACGGGGAAGGCTCCGAACCTTGACAAAATGGCTGATGATTTGCTGGCAGCTGCTGACAAGGTGAGATAAGAATTGAGAAGTATTCACAGGACATGGGGTTAGTGTAACCTCTTGAGCTTCATAGCCACTTGCCTTCTGTGTTGTATGTGGGTATAATGGGCATATATCCTAGTTTGGCCAGGACAGTCCTGGCTTACACTTGTATAATCCGTTTTACTCTCAAAAGTGTTCTGCTTTGGATGGTAAATTACACGGTCACCTTAACTATAGAAAAGGAGGATAAATTGGGCACTTACCTCTCTTCTCTTCCCCCCCAAATTTAACTACAGTGAAATTAAAGATTCAGATAATATTAACATTTGGATCGTGCTTTATAATTTAAAAAATGTTTTTGAGGTCATTAACTCATTTAAACTTTTTAAATAATTCAGAATATAGAGTAATATTTCACCCAGTGCCCTGGTTAGCATTTTCAAGTTTTACCTGAGTAGTTAGTGAGATATACTTTATTTCTTCAAAATTCTAAGATGGTTGATTCATAGCTCTTCGGGAGAAAAAAGAGATGTTGCTACAGTCAGTGTGTACTTTGTGAGACATTTCAGAACTGTTAAAGTGTAAAAATAGGGATCTGAGAATCAAGGAAATAAAGTGTTTACATGAAACAAATACGCCAGTGATGCACAATATACAGTGAGATATTATTATTAGTTCGCAGGGAAACATTTGTGAGATGCTGAATTTAACTAAACCAAGTCAAATAGGGGTTTTGCTTTCTCAGAAACTTTCATATTATTAATGAGCACTGTGAGTTTTATAAACCAGGATATGATAGAGAACATTTCTCCTATCTAGTTAACTCTGGAATCCTTTTTCTCAAGGATCACCTCTGGGAATTAGTGCTCCCCAAGCACACTTTGGGAAACTTAGTTTGTTGGTGGCTTGCCCTCCCTCCAAGGCCATGTGTCTATGGAAATTTCCACAATGTGGGGGGGGGAGGGGAAAGGGGAGATTACCCTTGTGGAAGTTTTCCTGGGTTGGGGTTGGGGATTGAGGGAAGGATGTTGAAGGCCTTAAACAAAACTTGTCCCCTGCAGTACTCATCTGAGGGGAAAAACAATCACCTAAAGGCACCAGCGCCTTCCCACCATTTGCTCTCTGGCATGATCTCCCTTCACCTCCCTTTCCACCCCTGTGGACGGAGGCAAGTGCCTGTGACTTCTGTTGATAGGTGGAGATTTTATGGTTATTGATGAGCTCTTTAGAGCGATGGCAGAGGATGGGGCGTACAAACCCAATTAATGTTAGTGATGAAGACGATTGGAATGATAGCTGTGTCTTTTTTATCCCTTTCAAGACTTTGTTAGTACAGCTAAGTCATGTGAGCATTCCGTACCCTTTCAGTCTACCACAGTTCTGACCAGAGGAAACTTGCTTTCAGTGGAGACAGTAAGAAAATATTCATGAGGAGCTCTGGAAAAGTAGAAGACACAACCCAATGCCTGCTTTTTATCAACATGAGTTTATAGTAATTCCACCGCATCTGCTCTCTGATTTTCAGTGAAATGGTTACTTGTGCTTATATGTACCAGGCATTTATGCCCCTCATCATCTAGATTATCCCATAAAGATGAATAGTACTGCAAGACCCACCTTTAGATAAAATATTAAGGCTCAGCAGTGTACAGTCTGGCTCTGGTAGAGCCGTAGTTGCCTATTTCGGTGTCACTGGGTTCTCATTCTTGCTTCTAAGCCAGGGAACCGAGTTGCCTCTTGACTCCTTCAAGTGTGCAGAGAGCGGGGCTCAGCCTGAATTGCCATTCCAAGGATGCTATCTACAGTATAATATGTTAACTTACATTTTTAAAAGATGAAACAGTTGAATCATAGCAGTGCTTTAAATGTATGAATGAAAAGTAACTGAAGGGTACATTTTCAGATTCCATTCAAAATTTCCCATCAGACAATCTTTGCTGCAAGGCTGTTTGAAGACATTTTTACCTTTACACCTCCTTGTGAGCTTTAGGAAAACAGAGTAAGAAACCTTTCATGGAACGAGCTCAAAAACATCTAGAATTTACCCAAGAGGTTGGAACAGCTTCTTCTGAGCTTTTCTGGTCTCCTGGGGGCATGTGTAATTAGACCAAAACAAAACAAAACACGTTGGCCAGGCCTGGGAGACACAATTTCAATCTCTCGGGTAAGTACTGCCATTAGGCAGGTTTTTCAGAAACATAATTAAGAAAAAAAACTTTGTCCCTTAAGGGATAAGAATGGCTACTTTTGTCTAATTATGCAGTAGAGATCAGAGCTATTCACAGTAAAAGTCCTTTTAAAAGAATGTATTGAGAAAAGATAAGAAGAATATTCTGTGCAGCCCTCTATAAAGACTTGAACATTGACTCAACCTTTTCCAGCCTTTTAAAACAAAAACGGCAACCTAATTTCTTGCTTGTCTAGTGTCATTCCTATTTTCCATGGAAACTATTTTCCAGTTACTCAAATGTGAAAAATTAAAGCGGCACCAAAACCAATAAGCTTCTTTTTGGCTCTGGGAGATCAGGGTGTCAACAGATATTCCTTCTCCCCCAGAATTCATAAAAATTCCTGCCCTGGTTTGATTGCTGTGGTTTAGCCTGGAGGAGGTACTATGTCAGTGAGTTCTGAGGCCCTCACGATGGGATCCACAAGGAGACTGGATACCCTCAAAGTAAACCATTCTCCTGTGAACCGATTAATGACATTTTATTTTGTGCTTCCTTTTTTGTTGTTCTTTCTTATCCCTGAAGTTCCTTAGTAAATTTATAATCTCATATTAGAGAACAAGTAGTACAGTTGCATTGAAACCAATCAATTAGATCAAATGTGCCCAGCATTAACCCAGACCTTTCCATTCCATTCCAGAACCTTTTGCTTAGAAAATGGGAAGTTTTTCAACTGAAACTAGATTGAGGTCTCTGCTGCTTTGTTCTCGTACCCTGAGAATCTTAACCTCAACTCCAGGAAAATAGGGCTCCATTTATCCTCTTCTATTTAAAAGGAGGCCTTTGGTTGACCCTCATTCAGGAAAAACTAATGGCAGAGATGCTGGTGAAAGTCACCACAGGGCTCTTTTTCACAGTCTGATGGACTAGTTTGAATATCCTGCTGGGCTAGTGACAATGCTTAAGTAGAAAGGGTTGAAATAAGAACTGTGTGTCACCCTAGTCTGGCTCCGAATAAAAGGATTGTGGAAGTTTAAAGTGTAATCTTCCTGTTGACTTGAAGCAGAATACTGCCTCATTGAAGGGTAGATGGTGATGGTTTAATGAAGACTTTAATCATAGTCAGGGGATAGGATAAACTTTAGGGTGTAAGTCTGCTCTGTCCATAACTGCCATATTTCTCTAAGAGCTTTAGAATTTGACTATCAACTACCCAAGTTATTTTAGTTGTATGCATTCAAAACTAACCTAGACTTCAGTTATGTTTTATATTGCAGTAGTATCCTTCTGTAGTCTCTGCATTTCTGCTCAGCTGTCAGTTATAGGGTGGTGCACACAGTTATAGCATGGTACACATGTATACTGAAAACAGTGTCCAAAGTGGTTAGTCCAGAGCTGCTTCTACTCACCATAGTGGTGCTTCTGTTTTACAGTATGCCCTGGAGCGTTTAAAGGTCATGTGTGAGGATGCCCTCTGCAGTAACCTTTCAGTGGAAAATGCAGCAGAGATTCTCATCCTGGCTGACCTCCACAGTGCAGATCAGTTGAAAACTCAGGCCGTGGATTTCATCAACTAGTGAGTTGGCGTCTTTCAAAGTTTTCCTTTTCTGATATTTGCAGTAGCTAAGGAAATGAGAAAGACTTTGAATTAGTGAGTAAAACAGGCAAGTGGTGTCATAACCTTTTGGTAGTAAGTATTTTTCCCTTTAGCTTGACAGGATAGAAAATGTTTTTGCTTTCATGGGCCATTCCTATTGGTGAGCAAAGTGTTTTATTTCCTCACAGTGATCTGAATTGATTAAAATTATAACTTGCTGGCCTGAAAACACCACATGCCCCAAATGATAGCATCTTTACTTCACACTTACTAGCTTAATAAAAGATGTCAAGATCTCTGAGGGAAGAGAAGTGTGTTTTTTATGAGTTAGTAAAATATATCTAACAATAGATTATGGAATGGGGCAAAGAGAAGAGATATTTAGTAGATGAGGTTGTTAAATCCCATGTTGAGAAAGAAATGTTTATCCCAGTAGATCTGTTCCTTCATCCTAAGTGACAACTTAGCCATATTACTTTCTGAAATAATTTGAACGGGCCAAGATGGAGTGTGATAACAACCTGTCTTCTCAGTGGGGCATGTTGTACACCCTTGCCTGATGGGGAACCTACTGTATTAAAGGTGGGAAAACCCCAGGGAGAGAAGCAGACCTGGAAAACCCCTCACAACAGCAGTTTTGAAGGAAGAGAGACCTAAGACATTGCCATGTAGATGAGTGAACAGTGTTCAGCTCAGAAATTCCCAAAGACAAGGAATAATGTCCCTTAACTCTGTGTAAGGATTTACCAATTGAAGCAAAAGAAGGAGGGCAGGGGCCAGTGAATGTTAGTTCTCTACAGGGCTCACTGTGTGCTAGACCCGTGCTTGGTGCTTTTTAGATGTTAACCATTCCATGTAGTAATAGTTACCATCCCCTCTTTTTTGATCATTAAATAGACCTAGGCTATGATCTGTTCTGTGGTTACAGACTGATAAATGACAAAGCCAGGTGGAAGCTCAGAGCTGTCTTAAGGAGCCCTTGCTCTTTCTCCTTATTGGCATCACCAGTGAATATAAAGGACATTGACAATGTAGAGAAGAGCCTGAGGAACATTCCGTCTTTTGTATTTGAGAGTATAGCAGCTCAAAGCCCTGTTTTTCAGAGTTAAAATAGCCACAACCCGGTCACCAGTCTGCACATTGTCTAACAAGCCAATTCTTACGCATATTAAGGGTTCTCTCTGAGTGTTTCTAGCATTGACACCCTTTACACCAAGCACTGGGATGTTAATTAGGCTGTCTTGGTAGTTGTTTAATCCACTATTTGCTCACCCCTTTTGTAACCCATCTCTCCACATTTCTCCTAGTCATGCTTCGGATGTCTTGGAGACCTCCGGGTGGAAGTCAATGGTGGTGTCACATCCCCACTTGGTGGCTGAGGCATACCGTTCTCTGGCTTCAGCACAGTGCCCTTTTCTGGGGCCCCCACGCAAACGCCTGAAGCAGTCCTAAGATCCTGCCTGTTGTAAGACTCCATTTATTTTCCAGAAGCAGCAGCCGTTGTTGCTGCCACTGACCACCAGGTAGACAGCGCAATCTGTGGAGCTTTTACTCTGTTGTGGGGAAAAAAGACCGCATCATGGCACCAGACTTTTAAAACAGCACTAAATAACTTGGGGAAGTGGGGGGAGGGAAGGGCTCGGGACTCGGGGCTATTCAACCTAATGAAAACCCTGTTGCTGAGTCACTGTGTTCCTTTGGCCTGGCCGAGTTTGAGACTGTGGGGATTCAGTGTAGGCACTGGCCCGGAGGACATCCAGCCATGGTACTCCGGAGAAACCTGTCTGCATCTGACTGAGCAGAAAAAATCTTCAGGTGCCTGGAGCAAAAAGGAAAAAAAAAAAAAAGGACATTTAGTTTTAAGAGAAGGGAACAGAAAAGGAAAGAAGAAAGGATTTTTGAAGAATTTCTCAAAAATCAGTTTGTGGAAGATTCCGGTAGTATTTATGTTGAGAGAAACAAATTTTAGTCCTTCCAGCTGTGGATATTTGTAAAAACTCACCACCATACACCTCTCCGAAGAGCTCTCGTGTTGTTAGCACTTATTGTTTGCAAGAACAGAACACATCCTTTTATCCTTTTATGAAAAATGACAAGGGACAGTGAAAGAGGGAAGGAGGTTATTTGATCAGGAAAATGAGTATTCTGATGTGGTGGCTTTTGCAAAGATCTTTATGGGTCTTGAAAACTGGAAAAAATGGTTCATCCAGAATTCTTACTGTCTTGACAAGAACTATGGTTCTGTTTTTAGATATTGTGGAAAATGTTTTTTGGCATTTTTCTCTGCTTTTATTTCACCTCCTTCCCCCCACCCTTTTTTCTAAAAAAAAAAAAAAAAAAAAAAAACAAACAACAATAAGAAGACAAGAGGAAATTTTATTGTTTATTAATGAGGTGTGAGAACCCCAGCCCGGATTGCTCAGCTGTTTGTACCTGACTTGCTGCCTGCACAGGAGCCAGGCCTGTTCCTTCTGAGTAGCCCCTCTTCCTGCAGGGGAGGACTTCCAAATGTTAATTTTTTTCTTTTTGAAAATATAAATAATTACTATTTTGTACTGTGTGGTATCTCTGGTCTTTTGTTTCATTTACCTGGCTTGTCTCTTTGGTCAGAGCCCCTTGCTGAATGGATTTTGAAGTCTTATTTGACCCGTCAGCTTGCAGAAAGTATATTTGAAATGTCCAGGCAGTAGAAATCTATTGAGTCTCCATAATCTCGAGTTTTCCTTGTGAGCTCTGGCCTCTTGTCCACCTCCTTGAGTATCGCACAGGCATCAGGTCTCTACTCCGCCGGGGCAAGTATGGAAGTGGACTTTTCTGCACCCTGTTTTAAGAACCAACCCCTAATCTCCCATCTCCTGACTAAATATAAAAAGATAAAGGGAACTTGGATGTAGAGATTAAATAAAGGGAAATTCTTGTTTCTGACTGATTCTGTTACTAACTTGTTATGTTTCCAGAAAAGTTAATGTCTGAATTCCCAGTGAGCTCCTAAGAGTGCTCTGGGGCTATTTACTTGTCTCTCAGCAGTGTTAGGACAGTGCAGCAGGCTATCTGGAAAATGTATTAGTTGTCTGCCAAGGTGTGGGTTATTTGACCTTAGATGGATCCCTAACCTATTCATCTTCCATTTCCCTTCAGTAGACTTTAGTCTTTACAAATGTCCTGATTTTCGTCAATGTTGCCACCCACAGAATGGAGAAGATAGGATCTGTTATCAGCATGATCAAAGGCAAGCTTTGCTTACTAGAAACCACTCCATTATACCACCCAGTTTCCTTCCAAGTGTCACCTTTGTGAGGAAATGCCCAGTTCTCCATGTTCTGGCTCCTGTCCTGTGCCTCCTCAGTCTTAGCTTTCCAGAGCAGCACACAGATCCAGAGATCAGCGTATACAAATTCCACCCAGGTTTTCTGTCAGATAGCTTCATTTGCTCAGCAGTTTAGAATTTTCAGTGAACCTGAATGTACAGTATCTCGTTTGAACCTCCCAACAACTTGATAACGTTTGATAGGACAGGTGAGATAGCATCTTCCCATTTTATAGATGAGAAGAGTTGAAACCCAGAGAAGGCAAATGACATGCCTAAGATCACTCAGCTATTGAGTGACAGATCTAATGTGTTCTGAAGATTGTATAATTTGAAAAAGGAAGTTCCATACCTGAAATGTTTCGGTAAGAAATCTGAGGTACAACTTCCTTCCTGCAGAATATCAAGGACAAAGCACTGGAAAGGTGCCTCTCCCAGCCTATTCTTGAGAGGTTCCAGGAGGATAAACCAGACTTGAGGTTATTGGCTTTCCTCTTCAGTCACAGAAAACTGTGGGTTGGGAGCTGGTGGGTTCAGGGAATAGGGCTCAGGAAGGCAGCAATCCTGGCCCCCCTAGCTTCTGGCAAGGGAAATGTCTCTTCTGGGATTTTCCAACATTTATGGACTTACCAATGAGGGCTTCACTGGGATTACAAAGCCATTAGGATTTCAGTTTATAGGTGAAGCTGCTGGAGGCTTCTCCTATCATCATTACATTATTTCTGCATGTGTTTGTTTTTGTTTTAAATGATACAGTTGAAGCCATCTGGTTATGACAACATTAGAGCCCCAGCATACTGTTCATAAACCTCCCACTGCCACTATCCCCTCCCTTAGCTCCCCCACATCTGAAATATAATTCAAGTTAACTCCACAATCTGGGGCATGTGCTGTCACTGCAGAGATGTCCGTGCCAGTGGAACAGTTGGAGATTGCAATTCCACAAGGATATGGCTTATTTATCAAGACAGTATTTCAGGCAAGTAGTTTCCCAGAACCTTTGGAGTTGCATTTTCAGGTCCAAATAGAGTTACTGGCATCACTCCCTACCACCCTTCCTTCCCTGGGTCAGCCCCTGTATCTGGCCACCCATGGAAAAGTTTTCCCATTCCCCATGTGGCGATTAAACCTCTGCATTGTTATTAGGCATCTCAAACTCCCTTATGGATTTTAACAATTTGTAAAAGATGTCTCTTTTTTCCTTATCAGTGGTAAGGCTTCCACTTTTCAGGTCTTAAAGGTGTTCCTTTTTCATTTCCAGCCAAGGACATTTAGATCCTTTGTCAGGCAAAAATATCTCTGACTTGACCACTGCTCTGCACATTCATTTATAAATCCAATTTAAACCTATTGTGGGTTCTCCATATTGTGTGAGCCTGTGCAGATGAAAGGAAACAGCTTGTATGTTTATGAGGAGAACAACAAACAGAGGGGGAGTTAGCTGCACTTTGAAACTGACTGTTGCTTTGTTCTGGCTCTTCAACTCCTATAAAAGAACAACTCAGTTCCCCAACATGCCTGTATTGGATCCTTTGGTTTCTCTGTCAAAGACATATTCTTGGCTAGAACCCAACCTTATTTTTCACAACTAATTATCTTTGTAATCAGCTTGGGCCCTGTGTGTTTCCTTCACCTCATGACTTTTGACTGAACTGTGCCCTACATCATTTAGATTCATTTCTAATGGCTTGCTGACTAATCTAACATTCAGGTGAGTACTATTGGACTGCTCTTTATGGACGTGTATTACATGTAAGGTGGATATGTTATCCCCTTTTAATTTTTCAGAGGGATGGTACCATGTTGGGCCCTTTGACCCGATAGGTGGACACCTCACAGAGACAGTGAGCAAGAAGATAAATGTAAGACAATCAGTATTTGGGATAATGAGCTGGGAGAACCAGAAGCTTTTACCTCCAGATGAGAGCAGAAACGTGAATGTTGTTGACCGATGGGATCTTGAAGCTGCTAAGCCATTAGCGAGATGGCCGCTCCCCCTCTGTAAATCCTGTAATGCTGGAGTGGAACGTGGCATCTGGAATACTGTTTGGTTTGGATTTCTGCAGCTCTAAGGAAAAAGAATTTTAGACTTGAGGGAATTCAGAATAAGCAACAGAAATGATTAAGGAGTTGAAGGACATCAAATCTAGGGGAAAAACATTAAGAAGATAAAATATGCATAACTCAAGGACAGGAATATAGCATCGGGTACCTGCCATTTACAGATCTTGCCAAGAGTTCTGAACACTTCCCAGCTCTTTTTATGTGGTTCCCATTCATTCAAATCAGTGTTTGGGAAAGCAGTGGTGTAACTTCCTCAAGGTTACTCAACCTGGCCTTAAGCCAAGAAACAACAGAAGGCAAAAGAATAGCTTTGGAACTTACACCCAAAGACCAGAGAGAAAGTGAGAATCCAAGAGTTTGCCTGATGATAAAGTGGACACAACAGCTTGTCATGCTCTGATGAGATGGGGAGAACTTTAGTACTCTCGAGACCATTAAAGATGAGCTCTTGACTAACTGAAGGAAAACAAAGGAGCTCCCCTCACATAGTTCACCTTCTTTTCATGTCTGAGGAAACAGACATCCCAGGACATTAGGTGACATGCACAAGGTCACAGAGATGAAAACTCAGGCCACTGATTCAGCAGACAATCACTGAGCATCTGGTAGGTGCCAGACGTGCTTATCTGGGGTTGGGGTGGAGGGTGGGATATCTGCTCTGCTGGATCAGTTTATCAGAAGAGGTAGGGGAGTGGCCCACAGAAACAAAGCAGAGAAGTCATGGAGCTGAGCACTGAAACGAAGCTATGGAGTAACAGTAAGGAGGTCATTGGTTACCTTAGAGCAATTTTGGTCAAATGCTGGAGGCAGAAGCCAGACTGATGAGCAAATAAGCACGTGTAGATGGAGTATTTAATTACTCTTTCCAGAAGTTTGGCGGGAAGAGAGGAAGGGAACCTCTCCCACTCTAAAGAACTTCATGTCTCAATCTAGTTGGCATATTTGGTTTTGTCTAGAAGTAATAGTGCATGGGTTGTTCTATAAATTTACAGTGGTACTTGTAATTGCAACTGAGTTTTATGGAGTAATTACAGCCTTCAATTGAGATGTTAAGTTGAGAAAGAAAATGGTCACCTTTAATCCTTCACACAATTTTAAGAATGATTTTCTAGAGACAGATAAATATTTCTATGTCTTCAGCCTATCCATCTTCCAAGAGAAAGTTTGCTTCACACTTACATAGGGCTTTAAAATGTTCTCATGGCTGGTGGTTTAGTTCAGTGGTGTGTTACCAAAGGTATAGTATTCTGTTCCCCAAAAAATAAGCCCTGATTTGTAGTATTTTTCCATTTCCATGGTATAAATATTCACACCATGACTAATTTGAAACTACCAAGTTGGCATCACTGAATATACAACCCTCAAGGAGAGATGTGCAGTAGCTTATATTGAATTTCTGCCATACAAATACAATAGACGTAAATAACCTCAAGAGTTTGTTGTTGTTAAGTGCTATCGAGTCGTCTCTGACTCATAGTGACCCTATGCACAGCAGAATGAAACACCGCCTGGTCCTGAGCCAGCTCCATGATCCTTGCTACACTTGAGCCCATCGCCACCACCACTGTGTCAATCCACCTCATTGAGGGCCTTCCCCTCTTTCGTCAACCCTCCACCTTCCCAAGCATGACATCCTTCTCCAGGGAATGGTCCCTTCTGACAACATGACCAAAGTATGTGAGATGAAGTCTGCCCTTTCCGGCCTCCAAGGAGCATTCTAGCTGCACTTACTCCAGGACAGACCTGGTAGTTCTTTTAGCAGTCCGTGGTACTTTAAGCATTCTTTGCCAACACCACAGCTCAAAAGCATCACCTCTTTGGTCTTCCTTATTCATTGTCCAGCTCTCACATGCATATGAGGTGATTGAAAATACCATGGCTTGTGTTAGGTGCACTTTAGTCATCAAGGAGATACCTTTGCTCTTCAGCACCTGAAAGAGGTCCTTTGCAGCCAATTTGCCCAGTGCTATACGTTATCTAATGTCCTGACTGCTGCTTCCATTGGCGTTGATTGTAGAACCAAGCAATATGAAGTTGACAATTTCAATCTTTTCTCCATTTATCGTAATGCTGCTTATAGGTCCAATTGTGAGGATTTTTGTTTCCTTTATATTGAGATGTAATCCATACTGCAGACTGTATTCTTCAGTCTTCATCAGTAAGTACTTCAAGTCATCCTCACTTTCAGCAAGCAAAGTTGTGCTGTCATCATATCGCCAGTTGTTAATGATTCTTCCTCCAATCCTGATTCCACGTTCTTCTTCATATAGTCCAGCTTCTCGGATTATTTACTCAGCATACAGATTGAATAAGTATGGTGAAAGCATACAACCCTGACACACTCCCTTCTTGATTTTAAACCATGCAGTGTTCCCTTTTTCTGTTTGAACAACAGCCTCCTGGTCTGAGTGCAATTAAGTGTTCTGGAATTCCCATTCTTCTCAATGTTATCCACAATTTGTTATGATCCACACAATCAAATGCTTTCGAAGAGTCAATAAAACCCAAGTAAACATCTTTCTGGTATTCTTTAGTTTGAGCCAAGATCCACC